TTACACGGGAAGTAATATAACCGGAAGTTGTTCAGGGAGCAAATACAGTACACCTACCGATAAACGATAGTGATTACAGTGTAGCGCTTGATATGATAAAAATCGGCACACCGATCTATTTGCAAAATTAAGACTGTGCTTTGCTCAGACATGGAGCAGGACTTTGCTGCCACCAACTAGATATTTTCCCTTAATGGTTGCTTTAACGTTTAAACACAGACTTCTCCCGAGAACATACACGAAGACAGTAATTTCGGCGGGCGTTGTGGGTAGGATACAGGACATTGAAAAGGTTGCATTTGACGGAAGTCATTGTGAAGTAAAAAAATTAAAGTCTGGGTTGCATACGAGCATGCTTTGATTGTGAATGCAACATACATCAATGCATGTCATACTTCCGCAAGCTTACTTACCATTACCTGTTGCCAGAAATACATATTTGAGAGCTTAACTTGTGCTAGAAATTAAGACTTAGCTTGTCTCTCAATGTCTGCTCCACGAATTTTATGCTGTCGACCGCGAGGACCTTGGCTCATTTACCTTGCTCTGGTGAGCCTAGTCGTGACTTCAACTGATCTTGAAGACGAGAGAGGGCCTGTTGAACATCCGGGTTTCCAATGTCTACGTTTACATTAGAAAATAGTTGTAGCCCACGAAAAAGTTCGCTTAGATCTCCCTCAGGAAATATCGGCGCTTGTCCGTATGTGTTCATCGGTGTAGCAGCGGCTATCACGAAGCAAATAAGAAGATTCATCTTGGCGCGTTGTGGAAAGTTGCTGTGGACGATAGGAAGGTGATGGCACGTTCTGGAATGATGAAGCGAGCGGACATACATTGGCTTGAGTAGGCATCGAGTTGAATTGATCGTATTAAGAGCAGTTTCGCTGGGTGCAAGGGTGAATTGTCTATCACGCTCGACACCCTTACTACACCTTTACTTATGAAAAGCACGGTTTTTAACGCGAATGAGTCGTTAAAAATGAGGGAAAGGCAAAGACAATTTTCCGGCCTGTCAAGTGCAAGTTGCGATGTCTCAGTTTTTTAACCTCAACGAAGGCCATGGTTTATCAAGAACAAAGACATGCCACCAGAACGAAACCGTCTATACGACTTTTACATCGTCTGGCTTCGTTCGACTAATCATGCTGCGGACTAGTTCACCTGACTGAGTCTGGTCACCCGCTGGGGTACTTTATTCACTGATTTGGCTCGAAGAGAGCGCTCAAACGCCAATCTATATACTTAAAGTGGCCTGGTGCAACGGACACAGTTCTCTTGCTGCTTTGTTTTAAATGTCGTGCCGTTGATCAACTTGACGTAGATTCTACAATATCTTTGAGATGTGTTAAAAAGTCGACCTTCGTTAACATTTTTGCATGATTGGATGACTCTTGACTGCTGGTCAGCATTATCACAGGTGCCTAGCTTGTTCGCGTCGTTTTGGTGTACGTCCTGATAGTTGTTACACCAGCGAAACCGCTGATGACTGATGATAGGGTTCCGGCACGTAGCTGTAACGAAAGAAAAACGAGAGAAAAAGTTTAAAGCCAGTTGAAATATAAGAGTAATGAGTCGATGAGCACCTGGAAGACCGCATACATCACAGATTTGCTTTGTATCTAGAATGTGGGCGAGTACTTATTTTAGATAAGCCTTTGCCCGCCGGAAGATAAACTTTATGAGTTACGTCAAGCGAATTTTCGATGTCCTGTGTGACCAAGAAATAGACGATTGCCACGAGTAAAAAAGGCCCAATATTCATACACGCACGCATGCGGCCTACGGTGCGGATGACTCTGCTACAGATAAAGATTTAAACATACCACGGCATGGCGGCGCCTGCTTACCATCTAGGATATAGCACGCATAGCAATATATAAAACTGCTTCGCGAAGTTTTGAGTGGTGTGAGCACTCTTGCTGTCGTCAATTATCCGGGTTCACGAGACGTTTTTTTCTGCTTAACGTGAAGGCCAAGAACAAAATTTTGAAAATTAAGTTGATGACCAGCCGGTGCACGCCACGGCATCCAAACGACTGCTATCAGCTCACTGTGAGCACCCCTGCTAAGAATGTTCTCCCCTTCGTAGCCGTCTTTAATAAATTTAGCGTCGGGCCTGTTAATTACGGTCATCTATTCAGAATTGCGCTATAATCCTTATCCTGATGTGTCTCCTAGGACCGAACGATACAGCGCAGCTTGCATGTTCGAAATGGAAGCACCTTCAAACTTCTAGTTGAACGGGCGATGAACTTCTGCCACAAACGTCATCATAGAGATAGAGGAGGAGGAGGAGATTCATGATCATTTACTTACATATTCAATGAGTGCAAAATGCCTGGAAATTTCAAAGCCAGGAAATGAGTGCCGCTTGGGGCAACGGATTGTGGCTGACTCTCGCATAAGGCGGGTGTCCACATGGCTTATAATAATATTCTAAGGCAGCCATGAAGGCAACCCCCACATGCATCAGTAGCCGCGGCTTGGTGTCCATGTATTGCGATGGCCTTCAACCGACGAATACCTCGTTCCAAGTAACTTTAGATGCTCGCAGATGGAGTAGTGTGAACATCTTACAAACGACAATATTATGCTTGCTCTACAAATGTTCTTGACTAATGGAGCTGAGGAAAGAAAGTCAATTGCGTCCTAATTCAGTCGAAGCGACGTCGTAGTCGCCTTAGAAACGAAGATGCAGCCCCATACTTAATCGTCGTGATATTGGTGGAGCTTGACGAGTAGCACTGCATCAAAGTGAAAGAGAAACGCATGCCGTTTGACGCAAAAAAAAAACGTCATACTATTTAAACTACTAGGACAGGCGAATGCGATTGTTGCTAGCCTGAGATTTAGGTGCAAAGTGCGACGTCTCAGCATGTTGATCTAAGCGCAGATCATGACAGATGATCAAGAAACAACAGTGATGTCCTTCTAATTATACAAACAGAGTGGCTCCTACATTACATGGTGTCCTTTGTCTTCAAGCAATAGATAGTCCAGCTTCGCGAAGATGCTCGCTCGTGAATAAATAGCTTATGAAAGCAGATCGTAGAATGCGTCTAACCACTTTGCAACACAACAGAGCTGTCTAGGATAGCATACGTGAACCAGACGATCGAACCGATGCTGTGTTCTACGTACTCAATTCTGCTTCTAGTACTTCTTCATCGAGCTGTGTTCGACAATATGAATGAAAAACCATTCACTTTGATCAGTCATGATTGAAGACCCGCTAAAAGTTTCATGTTTTACCAGCTCTTCGCTCGGTTCCGCGGCTATCCTGTTGTACAGTGAGGATACAATCGAGACCGCTGCGGTATTATAGTATTTGGTCATGTAGCGGGTATGGATATAAAATGAGAGGGAGAAGATTGAGAGCTGTGAACAGCAAACGTATCGATAAATTAGCACCTGGACGACGGCATCATTACAGTACTCGGGATTGAGCAGGTCAGCTCATATGTGAAATAATCATGCATCAGCTCGAAGGGGCAAAATGACTAAAATGAGGAAAAAACCAGCGACATTAAACAGCTTGCTCTAAGCAGCAAGTGGACCTTCGCCACAACGGCATGCACATGTGCAGGTAACTGTTACGGGGTCACACTATCCTTTGGCTGAATTAGTCAAATACCTCCCATTAGTGATATGGATGAATGTGTGTGACCTTAGATTTTATATCAGCAAGAGAATATCGATTGATCGATATTCCTAGGTTTACGGTACTTACCGTGTATGTACTTTGTACCGTCATCATTCTGATGACTGAGTGATGTGGCAACCATCCATTTAGTTTTAATACTAATATTTGTGTTTAGGATAATATAGGGTGCATAAAGTAGGATTTTCCTTGACACAAAATCTAAACAAAGTTCAGTTCTCATTTTGAGCAGAAGTCCCTAGACCCCCCCCAATCGCACCTTGCGTTTGACAGTTCTTTAGAACTGTCGTGGGTTAGAAAGTCTTTAGACTCCGGTATTCTCCTTTTGCACATTGTGCGTGTAGATCCTTAGAACTATAGTAGCTGAGCTGTTAGCTTGTAGAGTCCACCCAAGTTCCGTAGAACTGGGTGACTCTTTAACTTGATATACTAGTTCCGTAAAACTAAAAGGCTGTCAGCCGTAACCCCTTGGCTTGTTGAATAAGTCTTCCTCCGACTTAAGAAGCTGTGTAGCTCCGCTGCAGTAGCACTTGCGATTCTAGTTTAGCTCCGCTGAATCTCTACGAATGTCCTCGTTTAGGTTGGCGACGGATGATTTAGCAGGGCGTCGAGTCGTCTGGAGCAAATGCGAATTGCAAAAGTTGCAAGACAACATACATCGACCATTAGAGAGATCCCGAAGTACCACAATGTACCTCTCACGTTACCGCTGAGGTGGCACACGCAGACGCATCGTAATCTCTATTGCATCGGTTTCAGCTCTGCGTGAGCTAAAACCACCGCGGTCTTGAGTCCTCAGCACCGATTCCGTCAATTCCAGCCTGATCCTTACGGGCATGCGACTTTAGGACTTAACGTTAAAAAATGCGTCAATTACACCTGGCCTTCCGTTAAGCTTTATGATCTAGTGAGCTGAATAATCTGTATTGTTATTCAGACAAACGACTCGTTTGACATGTAAGACTCTGTGCGGGAACGCAAGCATGAGTACGCGCATAACTGCAGAAGGAATGCACGAAGGCAAAATTTTGCTTGGAATCGCCAAACCTTCGGAATGATCGTATTGACCGGATCACAAAATTTGCTACTGCAACAAAGTAAATCATTGTTTGGATTGTAGAAGACGTTTAAAAAAGGGGCTGTCTAGGCGTACACCCCCTAGTAACTGCGCGCACACCTCCCTTCGTGTGTGTAATCGTCTAATCGTTTTGTGTACCCTCTCGTTTTTTTATAAGACAAGGTTTATTTTTCTCTTGCGCTGACCAGCAACCGAGAGTTAGCGCGCGGAAGTAGCCACAAGGGACCATCACTTTATTTTCCACTGTAATGAAGCCACAGCATGAAGAGCGAGGACGCGGCCACGCGCGCAGCCAAGCGCAAGCGCAATACCTCGGGCGGCCGCAAGCTGCTGCGCGGGGACGCCACGCGCTGGCAGCTGTTCGAGCTCTCGCTGCCGTACACGACGCGCCTCAAGAGCGCGCCGCTTTTACACCTGCGCGCCCCGCTCAAGTCTATGTACGTGAGATGCTGTCCCGTCTGCGGCGTGGCCCGTGCTTACGCTTTCGTGTGTCTCTCGTTTTTTCTGGGCTGTTGTTTGTTAGCTAAGAGACTCATTTTTACAGTCGAAAGAGTCACGCGGCATCGGTGGTGATGGAGCAACCAATTGTCGGCACGCGCTCGGGGTCTGTAGTTAATTGTAAGGCCCGTGATTGACGCGACAGGCAGCGACACGTGTCTGCACAATGTCAAGTGGTTGCAGTTGTGGTTGTGCTGTGGGGATGATGGTGAGGGAATGGGATGTATCGACTGGACAACTGTTTGGGCTGGTACGAAGTAGGGGGATTAGATGTTCAGTCAGTCAATTTGAAGGTTTACGGGAGTATAGGTAGAAGCTCTTTTTGAAATATTTGGCATGGTAGGCTGTGGGCGTCACGCGTGAGTGGTGTTACTGGGTAATTATATGTAGATGAGGAAATGAGTCCGGATGTGCACGACAACAGGTTGGCACAAGCGTTTTGCAAGACGCCATTCGGCCACTAAAAGGGCGATGGAAAGGACATGGATATGGCTGTTATTTTTGGGTGTATAGCTAAAACTTTGTGGGGTTTCTCGTTGTGCTTTGAGTGATGACATTGTTGGCGTTGAATGGAGACATTCATGGGGTAAATTTGTGGTGCTGATAGCTTTTGGTCGAACATACGGCCTGAATCTCGACGCTGCGGTTAAAGAGTTTGCAGTCTCGAATTCGCCTCATACTTACATGAATCATTTCCTGACGGTGCGTGGGTGTTTGACCTATTTGGGAAGGCCGGCTGATATGATACTAAATTGTGCTGTTTTTGTCTTTTCTATCGGAACATATTCCGGAAGCGCGAGAGTAAATAAACCACTGTCATTGAGGTTGTAACGGATCACAGTGCCATTTACACTGCTTTGGATGTTCCGTATAATCTTGGCGGCTTCGAGTGTGAGAAGCCATTTCTTTAGCTCGTTGCTAGCGAAGGCAGCGGCATCCCTAGTGAAGATGGAAGCATTTCAAAGCAGCAACTGGATCAGTACATTAAATACATCTCGAGTTGACTGAGTTTAGCACTTCGCAACGTCATCTTTCATCCACGAAATGGGAACAAAGCTCAGCACTTGAGAGAAATTTTTTAAGGAAGGCACGTATTCAGGTGTCAGGTCGCGTATTGCATACGAGCCAGTATGACGTATGGTGCATCTGGATTGGTACGCCCCCTCATAACTGCGCGCGCACACCCTGCACGTGACGCGACGAAATTCAAGTCCTCACGTTACACATCTAAAAGTGATTGCAACCTGACGGGGAAAGCATGCATTTGTTCCGAATGTGAAATACACAGTAAAAACTACTCAATGCAAATGTATTACATACTCTGCTAGCTGTTTGCTATCTCAAGAAAGGACAATCGCGCCTGTCATGTCCTTCCTCTCGACAATCTGGATGTCCGCATCTTCTTGGAGCTCGCGCTGTAGCTTCCACTGACTCAAAGCAGAAGGATTACGCCTTGTGCTACTCCCCGCCACCGCACCCACAGGTCTGCCTCTAGTCCGCACTACCACAGGATTGTTCACTGGTGTGAGCGGCTGTTGGGAAAGCAACACAAATTGTTCCTCCAAAATACGTTGCTGGTGTGGGGGGAGAGTTTTGTGTTGAAATTGCAGCTGTGTCAATGCATCTGCAAATTCTGTCATCGCATCTGCAGAGGTATCACTATCATTGCACTCATGCTCTTACGGTTTTATAAGCCACCAGTGCCTATGGAAGTCGTGGGCCCCCAACGAAAAATGGTTGCCCTTTTATAGGTTGAGTCCGTGGGAGCAAGGAAGACCTGTCGTACTTCGAAAGATGCTAAAGCAGGTGGAGTCGCCAGCCAGGTGTTTAGGTTTCTGGAACTGATCATACACCTTGTTCAAAGCATAGTGTGATATCTTCTGCTTGACATCCTTCCAAATGTTGTGAGAGAAGTGAGCATGGAATGCGTCTTGTCGCATAGAATCTGTTGACTAATGTGACGCTCTTGATAGTCGATCGAGAGGGATATCTTCTGGTACACATCTTTACAAACTCCTGAAGAGACACTGATCCATCCATTTATCGAAGAATGTTTGCCTTCAGCGCGAGATGTAGCCAAGTGACCAAGATGCAAGACTAGCTTGGTGGATGCGGTGACAAAGTTTTCCTTGTGTACGATGAATGTGCTCCTCAGGTATCCAAAGTCTGTCCGTACTCGCAGTAGGAGATTTGCTGATCTTTTCAATTAGCGATAAACGTCTCCACATCTATCGAAGCAGCCAGAAGGTGCCAGTCTGCCAGAAACCGTTCCCAACCTTATCAATTCGGATATGTTACACCAAATTGATGACAATGTTTTTTTCGATGTGCCATATGCAGAGAAGATAAAGAGTATCTCCGAGATTATTTTAATTGCTGACATAAAGGCCAGCTCTCGATCAGTAACCACCACACCAGGCAGGAGGTTCAAGAGAAACACCCCTTTCACGCGTATTAAAGCCCATACATAGTCATCTTCTGTCTTTCCGCTCATAATGCAAAATCATATGGAGAATTTAGCACTGGTGCTGGTCATGCCGACAACGTGGAGGGGTGGGAGCTTGAACCTAGTAGACAAACGTTGTGTTAGAGACTTGTATAATGTAGACTGCAAGGTGTGAAGCTCAACACCTGATGGTCTTGTACGTAAAGTCCATTAATGCGACGTCGGGAAACTCTCTAACTCGATCAACAGCACCTGGCGTAGCGAAGAAGAGGTGTGTGATTGGACCCTCATCGTCTTTTGCATAGTCATGTACGACCCCTTTTTCCTGCAGCTCCTCTAGCACGGACTCCAGAGGTTTACGGCTGTTCAAATCTTCTTGTCGAAGCAGGGCTTTAGCATTGAAAATGTCTTTACTGGTGAGGTTCATTTGCGGATCTTGTTGCCGTAAGGTCGTAAGGATAACTTGGGGGCTGCAACGGCCTTGGACATCTATTGCACGACCTGTCGCACTTGATCTGTGACTTTACGTGCGCTAGGAAAGCCTGACATTTTGGCTGTTGCCTCTTGGTTGTGAGAACCGTCCTCTACCTAGAGCCGCCACATCCTTCCCTCTGCGGTCAATTCTCTTTTAATAGTGACGCTACAGGGGCATTCGACGCATCTGCTGCTGGTCTTTCTCTTCCAATTCCCTTCAGTGAAATATTCGCGACGGTTCCTGTACTCTAGGCCGTGCGAGCAATGGATCCGGACCTTGCGTGCTTCACCGCTTTTGGAGGGTTTTGATCGAGTCCGTCCCCCCACAGCGTAGCCTTGGTCAAGTACAAACCGCTCTACTGCCGACTGAGCATCAACAAGAGAAGGATAAGTATGCTCGGGTGGTGGTGCTAGCATTGCCGGAAGAGCAAGGAACAGAGAAATAGTACGATCGGATGGAGGATAGCTCGCATTTAGTGGGAGAAAAAAAATGCGACATCACGGGGGGAAGGGGGGTGCGCGTATTTATTAGGGGTGTACGCCCAGGCGGCCCCCTAAATTAAGCGTCAATTTGGATATAGCGGTCTGGTCTACCGGATTTGTCGTACCACAATCGGAAAACGCCAGCAACTCTTGTACATGACTCCGACGCTGTTTTAATTTTGCAAAGAGTTAAACAGTTGCAAGAGACTTTTCGTGTAACGACAAATGCATAAATCTTTGGGATTCCCGAGCGCGGTACGCATTTGGACCTATCATGTAGTAATGGTACGGCAACACCGTACCTACCAGAAAGCTGTGATTCATGCCCATAAAAACGTCACTACTGACTTAAGTTTATTAGCTGTGGAGGAGGATACTAAAGCCCAAATATTAAGTTAAAGCTAGCTTTTAGAGACCGCGTCTCATCAAAGCGCGCGTCTAATACGCTGTCGTTGTGCCACCAACTTACACTTTTTTTTACTTAACTGAGTAAAGTTCTGTCTCACATTAACAACCTACTTGGCAGTATGCGCAAGAAGATGAAAAAATGGCATTGACATAAAAAACCTGAGAGTGTTAACTATTACAAACAGTTTGCGTAATAATGCTCTATTGGATTACCCAATCATCACTGCCTGCGAATTGTTTTTGAGAGATTATTTCTTGCAGGCGTCTGAAGGTGTGCGTAGAGGACGTGCACAACAGGTATAAGCTCCCGCCAAATCTTCAAAGCTCTTGAAATCCTTTTACGAGCCGTCTTTATGTGATCGTGTCAGCGATTGTGAGCCTCAATGTTGACTAAGCTCAGTGTATCCATAAATTCTAATATTAAAGGGAGATGGCTGAAAATATGGAACAAGAATTTGGTGTACAAACCCTTAGGCATTTTCTGAGTTGCCACCGGAGCATCATTTTCTCGACTTCGAATTTTTTTTTACATGGATAGCGGATTTCCAGGTACAAGGCTTGAAGCCATTACGTGAAAAAAATTATTACTGCGACTCTTGATGACCTTCTGAGCGAGCAATATCGACGCACATAGCGCTCAATGGAGGGGTAGCGGAGCTACACAGCTCATATTCAGAGGGAATACTTACGACTTAAGAAATCACTTAGGTCTACAGAAGTAAGATTATTCTAGTTTAGAGAGCCTCTAGTTCCGATAAATTGTCAAATAAAACTGCAGAGTCTTCACGCTCGTAGAGCTTCTAGGCCTGCTTCAGGGCACTAACAAGAGTTTCAATAATCTTACGCACCATGTGCTCTAGAGTAATTGACACAAGAAGGCACTTACTTTTTGCAATTTACCAACGTCTAAAGTACACGTGTCAAAAAAATCAAAAGGGGAATGTTTTTTGATTTCTAAGTTTTATCTGTAATATCCCTATTCAACTATATAATACTATGGATGAACTAGTTCTCATAGCAGCTCTTTGTTCCTAAAAGATTGACGGATGGTGCATCAGTCTGTTATCTACAAATGACGGATGTCATCAACCCCATCAACTATCACAGATTAAACTCAGACTGTATAATACATTTACAGGTTGTATTTCATTTTGTCTAATAACCGTCGTGTGACCCTGTTTCACCCTCCCTCACCGAGCTAACGCTACCAAAAAACGTCAATTAACTCATTAATTTCCTCATCGAGGCCATTAGTGAACAGATAATCTCACAATTGTCCAACGCGTAGAATTTAGCCACGCAAATGAGTTTACAAGTCTTTTCGACCTTCTCAGCATCGAGGAGAAAATGCGGACTATATCAGTGATACTGAGTTTATTTCAGCACCCCAGTGCGAGACGAGATGTCAAGGCAGACACCCAATCCTTTTGTTGAACGTTGAGCTGCAGATAAGATGACATTGCTGCACCTAGTCCGGCACATGGTAAGTGATCATCACGAATTCCCTCGATGAGCAACAAGAGTGGGTACTCCAAAAGTGTAAGAGCGCTCAGCGCAGATCTTAGATCATGTCGACACAAGGGTCACATATTCACCCATTGCTTACCCGTTTCAGTATAAAGAAGTCCCTATGAGAGAATAGTGTTCAGTATGTGGTAAAGTGGACCTTAGTCATGCTGCCACCATAACTTAAGCGTTTAAGGCACATTGGGAATTAAGCGATAGGTACCTGGTACCAACTATATTTTGCCGAGGTCAATAATAGGCAAGGCATACTTAATGAGGTGCCAGTCACACCGATCAGGGGTATCCCGTACTCCATGTCGAAGGGGAGAGAACCGATGAAGAGGACTACGCGTATGCTCACTGGGTGCAAAGAGCGTGAAACCTAAGCAAAATTGCGTCTCATGATGCTTGCGCTTAAAAGGCAGACGTACGTTTCGAACGAAAACTCAGTTACGACTGCGCCAGGTTTTAAGGTGAGAAGCCATTTGCGGGCAGCGCTCAGCCAGCACTACGCTCCGATTGTGCCGGTACATGCGAGTCATACTAGACTTTTGCCGTGGACCTACCTGCTACTTCCACTATTGGAAAAGAAAGCGTGAGGGGTCGCAAGCTGACATCGACCATAGCGCCCGAAGACATTCACAGCATACGGTCCTTCATTCCGAAAGGTGTCTCTGAATCCCATGATCCATAAGACTCACTGATTTACTCACCACTTCACCCGACATTAGTATGGCCCATGACGACGACGTCATTAAATGATCCTCTCCTACTAAAATGGAGGTACCCTTGCTTATAAAGCAACACCGGTGGCGGTCGGTATGTCAACTGTTTCCTATGCGCATTGTTAGATGAGATTAGCAGTCTTTGTGAGACTTTGGATACAACTAAGCGCACTCATACCGCAATGCAAGCCCGTCTGCTAAATGTTTAAAGGATTCATACGCGGACGGAGACGCGGCGGGATTACCTGATACGGATGCAGCAACCTTTATCAAGGCCATATCCTCTTGGCGATCATCTCCTGATAAACCTGAAACGGATTTTTTTACCGCTATAGAATGTTACGGAAAACACGAGGTGCGTACGCATCTTCCGCGGTTTGTTGAACATATACGCAACGCCCTTTTCGGTCACGACAATGTTAAAAGTCCTAAAAACGCCCTTTACCTTTTAAACACGTTCGACACGACATTTGAAGGCAGGTTCTTAGAGTTTAGTATGACTTGGTTAACAGCATCAGGACTTTCACAACAGCTTTTTCTTTTGGCATCCGCTTGTTATTCTGTGTGTCTCGGTGATTAGTCATCGCGTCACGCACATGTCGTAAGACATTTAATCCCACATTTAAAAACACCCATCTATATTTTTAATAGTAGCAGAGATGATATTTTGCTTTCATGTTCGGCAACGACCATAGCACATATGTTGTCAACCGAAATCTTTGGTAGGCCTAGCAAGTATTCCATGTTGATGGACTTCCTATACACAGATAGTGCAGGCATCTTGCCAGATATGCGGCCGCATGTGCCGAATGTCTGATCCGTTGGAACGTCTCAGATGTCTGCACATCAGTCCTATCCCATTACTAAAGTTCTGGCCACAATAATATATGTTTAACCAGGCCGTAGGTCTACTCATGACCGAGATGACCGCTGATAGCTGTGTCGTGGACCTCATTGAATGTTCGATACTTCAGTTTCTCATCATGATGAACAATTTTACACGAGTTATATTTGATGTCTTTGCGAAAGCACAACAATCCATTATAGATAAAATGTCGATATAGCCTCACATGCAAACGTGCCGACAATAAATGTGCAAATCCCAAAAGTTGTCGCTTCCAAGAGCTTGTAGCAAAAATACAAATTGTTATCTTGGCATGAGACGCACATGTGATGGCAATAAACGACGAAGGTAAAATCGAAACATGATCAAGATCATATTCGGACCGGCGAGACAACGCATCAGCCAGCGTTTCTTGCCTCCCTTACTCACAATTCCCCTTAGAATAATTTGATATAGAAATGATAAGGCTACCATCTATGGGATGTGAGGCGATTGAGTCGCCGTGGGCAAAGACGCATAGTCTGCTTCGACGACGAATGGCTTAGAGACAAGCAGGTGAATTCTCAAACCGACAAGTGCATATTCCATTAAAATTTAATATTTGTCATGATCTGAACAGTTCTTCAGCAGTATAATTTGAAAGGATTCAAATGCGATCAATTTCTCGCGGCCAGAAGCAATTGTATGTAATAGGGAGCCGCTTATGGCAAATTTGGATGCATCGCATACAACACATACGATGTACTACGAATTTGGCAATGTTAGAATGCAACAATGGAGAAGACTCTATCATACGGCCTTGAAGGTCTCATCTTCGAATTTATTCCAAGTACTCGATAAGAAAATTGGTCAATAACCGAACCATATCAGCGCAATTCTCACTATGCTTGTGCCAAATAAATGAGGAACAAGACAACCCACTATGGCATTTACCTTTGCAGCATTTACAGAAGACCACGTTTTCGAACGAAGCACACATGCAGGATC